TTTGGTTATTGAGAAGAAGTTGTTTAAAGTTTTTAACATATTTGACCCCTATGACCTTGAAAATACATGAAGATCATTTATTTGAACAAACTTGGTAGCCCTTCATCCCAGTTTGCTTCTGGCCAAATATAATCACCCTAGGCCTTTCGGTTATTAAGAAGAAGTCGTTTAAAGTAAAATATTGACGCCGGACGACGGACAGACAGACGGACGGACGACGGATGCCGCACCACGGCATAAGCTCACTTGGCACTTCGTGCCAGCTGAGCTAATAATATTGCAATTGTGAAATTGGTCGCAATAATCACCCCTAATAGACAATAGTCCTTCTAGGATGGGACATAGCTCTTATAGAGCTAAATCTCGTCACGGCCAGTCGAGTCGGCATTACAGCTCTGATTCGAATTCACAGAGTCCTTTTAGAGGCTACAGCAACAGAAAGGATAGGTAGCATTCCAGACGTCGACATGAACAACGTCGTCATGATCGTGAGGCGAGAGAGAGGTCAAGGTTTTACTTTGATTCCTCTCCTACCTCCAGTGACTACTCAGGTCCTGGACTACCATGGATATTCATCCAAAAGGGGAAATCCTATAAAATACCCAAAAATTTGAAGTTCGATGGTAAAACTAATTGGCTGTCATGCAAGCAGAAGTGTGACAGCTACAGACATGTCTTCGAATGGTCAGACAGCCAGTGTCGGGATTATCTTGGATGGGCATTAGAAGGAAATGCTATTGACTACTTCACCCTGGTCACAAAGATGGGAAGCTGCCATTCTTTCCGGGAAATCATGCGTAAGCTGGAGACTCGTTTTGGCGCCTAAGAATAAACATAGACGACCATGAGACGAGCTCCTAAGATGAATGGGCAGATAGAGTCATGACTCTAGCCACTCCAGCTTTCCGCCACCTACAGGAAAAATATGGCTGTACTGAAGCTATCGCTACGTACTGTCAAGTAGCCACAGACAAGGAAGCAGGTTAACATGCCTGTCTGTGCCATCCAAGATCAATGGAGGAGGATAGGATGAAGGCCCTACTTCTCGCAATGTGTGATTTGGCTAAGGGGAAGACCACCAAGAGGGGATCACAGCAGTACCATCTCGATTCATGGCTCGAGTCTTGTGCGGAGACCCTGAACGTCTGTCAGCTGCAGTCGCACTACTGGATTGCTACTAACGTCTATCGTATCGGTAGGCGCAACAGACCAGGACCTATTGCCGCGGAGTCCAGGGCTATGTATCATGATATACGGTTGTCTACGGATCCCAGCTTGGCACGGAGGGTGGAGGAGGTTTCGTCACGGAGCCCTAAGGTGGTGAGAATGGAAGATGACGCACTAGATCTGGGAGCTGACCCAATTCACATTGATCTTGGGAACCCGGAACTGGTACCCCAGACATCGACATCGCCGGAAACAGTACCCCAGAAGTTGCCATCACCACTTCCCAAAAGGAAGCCAGCTTCCCGACATGTGGAGCAGACTGCTGTTTGGCTCATCCGGAGGCCAGTGGGACATATCGGGAGACATTCGGGAATTGGTGGAGATGCAGCATTTGTTGACAACGGAGGGAGGTGTCGGCATCACTGACTGTCAGACGGTGGCTATGAGGGCATTAAGTACTCAGTTTCCAATTCCGGAGGAGGTGGCCAGGCCCCGTTCATTTGACTCTCATTTCAACCTCGACCGGACACTGCTACCTTCCAGTCTTTACTCGCACTCAGTCCAATGGAACCAGGAAAGGAGATTGAGGTTGTTGGAACCTGTGCCTGTTACTGTGACCCCATTACCTATTCAACTAAGGAGCATCTGGCTACATTACCAGAGGACATGGAGGTCACAGTGGGGGTACATTCGAAGCACCAGTACTCGCATGTTCAGTTCAACCGCGTTGTGCAGGAGCTGCGTCAACTTATCCAGTTGCCTCGTGTCGGAGCAGTCGGCGAGATTGGGTTGGACCATTCCGTCCCTTGGGAGCAGTGGGCTGAGCAGTCAGTTATGCTGGAGAAGATTCTGCCACTTGTGGAACCCAGGCATGTCTTGGTACTACACTGTAGAGGAATCACCGGAGACAGTGGAGCGGAAGCCCATCTACTTCTGCTCTATTATGTTAAGGTTGTGCGTCCTGACCAGAGGATACATCTCCATTGTTTCAGTGGAGATTCCTACGTGCGTGACCAGTGCCTTCTCACAGCTGTACTTTGGATTCACTAGTATGGCTGCTAAGTTCAACAACCAGCAGTCCCAAGCCGTGAGGGGAATCAACCCTGAGAGAGTACTGTTAGAGACGGACGCTCCATATTTTGCCAGATCTGGAACCAGGTGCTCTGCACCCAAACCAACTGTTACGGACAGCGTCGTCTCTAGCACGTTACTTCAAGATGAACCCGGAATCACTGCTGGCTACATCTGTTCAAAACGCCCGACGACTGCATCTACGCTTGTAGGTTATATTATAACATCTATGGTCAGGGGTACCTGGTCTTTTAGGCCAGGTTCGTGCGTATAGTGCTACCCTTCACCTATATTCCAGAAGACTTAAAGAGGCTGTGCCCTAGCTTCGTGTTTTAGGGAGCAACAACCAGTAATAGAACATCCGGTACAGTGCGTGTAATGGACGCACTTCTAACTCGTGTAAATAATTATACTAGTATGTAGTTTTGGACTATTCTACTTATGGTTTGATGGCTGTTTTAGTTCCTGTAAAGTTCACTTGAAATATTTTAATTGACATAGTTATGTGTCAATCCCTTTTCTAGACAGAAACACTAAAAACTTTACGAGCCTTGCGCGGGGCCGGCCATTTTGTACCTTTATATTTATCATACGATCTTATCGTGAAATATTGTTTCATCCCATACATCCATTATGTGAAAGTCAGAAGAAATATACCAAAAACCAACGGAATAGCTGGTCATACCCATCAGACTTTCTAAATGACGAGTCTAACACAAGTAAACCTGAAGCCATCTATGCAGGTGTTCAACAAGGTTCAGTTCTTGGTCTTTTCTTTTTCTTCTTTTATTACATAACCCATGAGATAAGTACAAATATAAAGCTGTTTGCTGACGATACCTCACTTTTTGTAATTGTTGAAGACGACATGATCGCTCCTTGTATTGCACTGAATGAAGATCTAGATTTTGTTAACGAATGGGCAAACAAGAGGAAAATTAAATTCAATCCCAATAAAACCATAGGACTAACAGTGTCTAGAAGGAATAGAAAGCACTCCCCTCTTTTCTTAAATAATGAATTATTACCTGACGAAATCAATCAAACATTTAGGGTTACTTTTTAATTCTAAAGGTACATGGGAGGATCATATTCATGATCTTTTTAATAAATCTTGTATAAGCAGGGTTCGAAATTTACTCTTAGTTACAGGCAATTTGCGTCAGGATTTTGAGATTTGCGTTTTGATATGGGTTCCAAAACGAAAATACTTGCGTCTGGTATTTTACTGCAGCATGTGTGTATAAATTGTGTCAATATTTCCGGATCATCGATCTATTTGTAACAAGTGCCGGTCTATGGTCAGGACCCGTCGATGTGCCGATCAAAACATAATCTGTAAGTTGTACACATGTGTGCGTGTCTAAATATAGCACAAGTACTAAGTCTCGTTTAGTCTCGGCAATAACGAGAGTGTCGTTCGGAACATATATATGTGCAGACAGCGTCAAATGTCAAAGCTCAAACGATGATTACGG